CAAGTCAGGCGGGGAACGTTGGAGTCCTCCGTCACTGAAGCAAGCAAGCCTCATGTTAGTTTCAAGCTGCCTGGCTGCCGGCCGCCATCTTGGCTGCCAGTTAATTTGCATATCTCGCTGATTAGCCAATGGGAAGGGTAGCGGTTTTACACCAATTACCATGTTTCTCTTTTATTAATGTAGATTTTTACCATGTCAGACACTGTGTTAAACTACCATACACACACACACACACACACACACACACACACACATCGTGTTTAATCCTTACAACAACCCTATATAATAGGTCCTTACAATTATTTCTACTTATTCAGATGTGGAAACTGAAGCACAGAGAATTTAGGTAATTTGCCCATGTATAGAAAGCGGTGAAATCAGAATTCTAACGCTTTTGGTGCCAAACCAATAATTATACAATATTTATAGGATAATAAATTTTGTAATTATAAATTTAAATTACAATAAATTTCTGGAAATAATTTCACGTATTCATACATTGGGTCTGTCTATATTTAACTTGCACACCAGGATCCTATCAAGTCATCAGTTAAACTGTAGACTTTATTTACCCTAACAAAATACCACAAATATAGTCATTTTAAAAAGCATGCAAAATTTACCAATTAGCATCTTAGCACATACCTACTGTGATGTTACCCATCTTGCTTTGTAATGTTATATTACCTGTAAAAGAGAGAAAAAGACAATTTCATATATTAGGAATAATCTAGAAAGGAACTGTGTATACTAAAACATGGCTGGATATCCACAATGTTATTTACTAACAGTTTTTGTTGTTGGCAATTTTTCTCAGTATCACACAACAATCAGAGATTTAGTTGCAACTCTGAAATAAAAAGTTTTAGGCATCTATACACACTCTTCCTCCACTCCATTTTAAGCTTTTTAGCATAACTAGAAAATATACCACCATACATTCTGGTAAACATGAAAGAAACATCATATTCCTAAAATCCACAAATGAAAAAATTACTTAATTAGATGAAAAAAGGTGAAGGAATTAGCCAAAGAATATACATGCATAACCTACAGACACAGAAGACACTTTAACGTTGGACAGAGGGAAGGGGAGGAGGGCAGAGAGAGAAAAATGGGGATATCAATAATAATGTAAACAATAAAAAAAGAAAATATTATTTAAATACACTGACTATGCATTTTCAACCTAAACATTACTGTATTTATCAGATTACACAAAGTCAGGTTTTGAACCAAATAATGCTAAAATAATCTATGAGAAAAAAATAACAATTATTTTTCAGGCCAATATACCATTCTTATATGTTAAAGTGGTTTCTGTGCCAAGAGTTAAGGAGGTTTGGTGCGGAAATAATGAATCCATTGAACTATGACTAACAAAGAAAAAAGCTTTAAAGGTTTCCATCTTTAAATGAAAACATATTTTCCAGGTCAGGTATAGGATAATGCAACTATTCTTCCCAGTCCCCCTCCTCCAATACCAAAAATAGTAGGATATTTCTTCATGTGTATATTTGTATTATAATTACTCTGGAGCCATACTATCCATATTTATTATGCTAAGGTATAAGCAATACTACCTCTTCTATCATAATTCAAAAACTACACTTAAAAGTAAAAGAATATTATTACCTTAAAATTAATCTAGGGTAAGTAAGCTCATTTATTTCATTTCAAAGGCACATGATTTATTTCGCCAATAGTCAGATATGCTTTGATAACAAAAATCTCTTAAAAGTCTTATATTCCGCTGAAACCGGTTTGGCTCAGTGGATAGAGCGTCGGCCTGTGGACTGAAAGGTCCCGGGTTCAATTCCGGTCAAGGGCATGTACCTGGGTTGCGGGCACATCCCCAGTAGGAGGTGTGCAGGAGGCAGCTAATTGATGTTTCTCTCTCATCGATGTTTCTAACTCTCTATCTCTCTCCTTTCCTCTCTGTAAAAAATCAATAAAATATATTAAAAAAAAGTCTTATATTCCATCATACTTCATGGGAGTATATGAACAACAGTTACATTTGTGTGGGAGCAAAACGTGGTTTGTATGAAGTTAAGCTCATAAAATTATTTTCAAGTCTCAGTAGGTTATAAGGTTGTAAAGAAACTGTTAAATGTGTTATGTAAATATTATTTCACTGGTGTGTTCTAGACACTTTTCTAATTTCAAATCCAAGAAATGTAGATTCGCCATCACATGCAAATAGTGGCCAAAGGTCATACAGCTGCTTAGATGGCTTACAATAATCCCTGCCTCTCAAGTCCTTGTATAATTTCCTCCCCTCATGTGTAAGCTGAACCTAATGATTTGTTATTGACAAAGAAAATAGGGCAAAATGATGGGATGTTAATTCCAAGATTAGGTTACAAAAAGATTCTCGTTTCTGTCTTGCTAGCCATCTTTTGCTGTGATGGAAGCCAGCTAGACATGTTGTCAACTGCCCTATGAAAGAGGCTCACAAGCAAAGAATTCAAAGATGCCTCCATCTAACACAAGCATGTCAAATTCTCAGCTGAGGGGCCACATGCCTTGTTTAAATAAATGAAGCCTGCGGCCCGCAGGCCATGAGTTTGACATGCTTGATCTAACAGGATCTGAAGTGAATCCTGCCAACAACCACACCTAGTGAGCTGGGAAGTAGATTCTCCCCTAGTGAACCTTCAAATGAGCCCACAATTACAGCCCCCTGAGGGATCTTGAGGCAGAGGGCTCAGTTAAGCCACATACAGACTGTAAAGACAATAAATGTTGCTTTTAGCTGCTAAGTTTTGGGGTAATTTAGAACAATGGAAGAGGTAAGTAGAACAAATTTTGAAAGCTGAAAGTGGGATGCTGCCCTAATAAATACCTAACAATGTGGGAGTAGCTTTAGAACTTGGCATTGGGTAGAGATTGGAAGGATTTTGAGGAGCATGTTAGAGAAGGCCTAAATTGCCTTGAACAGACTGTTAGTATGCTTCCCATGAGGGCTTAAAGGGAAGTGCGGAAAAATGTTTTTGGAAAATGGAGGAAGGAGGACCTTTGTTTAGTAGTAGTAGAAACTTAGCAACACTATCACCTTCAGAAATATGGAAAATAGGAAATATACTTAATAATATGAATGACCTAGCTGAGATTCTAAGCAAAGGCAGTGTCGTAGGTGATACCATTTTTTTTTTCTTCTTGCTCACAGTACAATGCAAGAGAAGAGAGATAAACTAAAGAACTGTTAAAACAAACAAACAAAAAGAACCAGGACATGACTGGTTTTGAAAATTCTCAGTCTCTTAAGATAGCAAAAGATGCTAAAGTGAAGAATGGCTTCCAGGCCACTGACACACATGGCCTAAAAATACAGCCAAGGGGGTAACTGTAAAACCTTCTGTTAAGACCCCAGAAAGATGGAGGGTGGTACCTCACAGTATTAATGTTACACAAAAAGTCCTTTAAAAAGGTTTAAAAGATCACAGATGCTCTCAAACAAACAACAGGCCCTCTAGAAAGCTGCAGAAGACCATATTTCAAAGATTCTTGGATATGGCTTTTATCTAGTGGAATAAACCCCAATGTGATTCACAGGAAGCTGACAAAATTTTTGACAGAAATACGTCAGCAAACACACTGCAAAGTGGACTAACAGGAGCAGCGACAGTAAAAAATGAAGAGCCCACTGGACCCACAAAATTTTACTGGCAGGAAGCCGTCTAAGAAAACTACTCAGCTCCAAACACATGCCACATAACATAAAAATGGACTCAGAGGCAGGAACCCAGAGCTCAGAGAGCAAAGCCTGGAACCCTAAAGAAGTATTCCCAGAACTTCAGGTTTAATCAAAACCTCCAATGTTTGCCCATTCACATTTCAAAATCACTACAGACCAATGACTCCTTTGTGCTTCTCATTTCCCCCTTTGAACAGGAAAGTCTAGAGCAGGGGTTCTCAACCTGTGGGTCGCGACCCCTTTGGCGGTCGAACGACCCTTTCATAGGGGTCGCCTAAGACCATCCTGCATATCAGATATTTACATTACGATTCATAACAGTAACAACATTACAGTTATGAAGTAGCAACGAAAATAATTTTATGGTTGGGGTCACAACATGAGGAACTGTATCTAAAGGGCCAGAAGGTTGAGAACCACTGGTCTAGAGCAATTTATCCTATTCCTGCTTTATCATTATATGTGGGTGTGTAGGTGATGTGTGTGTGGGTTGAGGTGTGGAGACTAGGCAATTTGTTTCTTTAGTTTACAGGTCTTCAGATTCAGAGGCATACCTTGGAGATATTGCATGTTTGGTTCCAGAACACCACAATATAATGTTTTTGTCATTTTTATACCATGCCTCTGTTGCTATTATATCCTTTTGTTACTGTTTATTTATTAAATCTATATATTATTTTCATATACATTTTACTAATTTCCTTTTATCTCTCACACTTCTATTATAGAGAAAGGGCAAATAGCAATATTAAAATATTTCTGCTAATTAATGCCCTTTTAATGTGCACAAATTTCATGCACCAAGCTACTAGTTCTTACATATTAAACCTAATCAATATGTTTAAATTATGTTATAAAAAAACCAACCCCAACAAGCTATTTCAAGGAAGCTTTTCTTTCTCTCTAAAAGAGTCAGAAAACTATATATATGTTTATATTCAAAAAATATATTTAGAATACATGTGAATATATTTCACATATATGTATAAAGTCTTTAAAATCATAAATATTCAAATAGCAAAATAGAATATACTTATAATCTAATTTTTGATAACTTAGAAGGAAATCAAAATAGTATACTGTAACAAAATCTTTTATCTAAAAACAAACTACGCAAGTACCCATTCTCTCACTATATCTCCAGGGCCAGAACAGTGGGGAATATTTGTTGAATCAATGAATAAACTAGTTTTTTTTTTTATTAGAAGGCATAAATACTTAATAATTGTGATTCAACCAACTTTAATAAGAGTAACTACTACTCATTAATTACCTTACTCATTACTCACTACTAGAAAATACAGGGTGGGATAAAAGTAGGTTTAACAGTCATAGTATGGGAAATAATACAATCATTAATAAAAAAATAATATAAGAATAAACTGTGCTTCGTGCAGTCACAACTGTAAACCTACATTTGCCACACACTGGGTGTTGAATAAATCAATAAATATAACTGTAGTGGATCTGTGACTCATCATCCAGAACCCCTTTGTAAAACTGAAGGGCTTATTTTCTTAACTGTTAGGAGTAATGCTGGCAGACAGCCCTCAGCTGTCAGCCTGCTTAGGGGCTCAAATAGCCTTTTTGGCCCAAGATTACACTCATTCCTGAGGCAGCTTGCATCTAATTGAGGCAGGATAATAAGAAGCTAGGAAAATTCCTGGGCAAGTAGAATGTGGAAACTGAGACAAGATCGTTAAACAAGGCCAAAGAAATTAACCAATTGATAGCCAGCTAGTGAATCAAGAAGACCTTATTTTTCCTAACCAAGGGCACTTGAGAACAAATGGTTGATACCTCTCCCATCTGACCAGAGGATAAATAGCTTGTCACCCTGACCAGGGAGATAGAACACAGAGACCCAATTAATGCTATTTGTGCCAGCCAAACCCAAGGATGGATGAAGTCAGAGAAACAAATACCAAAAACTCGATTACAGACAGACCCAAGATAAAAGTAAAGGAGTGAAGTTGACCAGAGAATAATCCCAAACTCCCCTATACACTCATTTTGATGTATCAGCATATTTAAAATGCACCTGGAAAGCTGATGAATATTCTGCTGAAACCCTCCCCTAAGATTTTGGCCCCGAGAAGAGAAATAAAAATCCTCCAGAGAAAGGATGCTGGGCGGGCACTCTCTGGAGCACTTTTTACTTCTTTTCTCCTAAACTCTATGGGTCCCCACGAGACCTGCAACCAGGGGAGCAGCAGGTAGCAGAAGCTCATCCTGGGTTTACCACCTGAACCTGTCTCTAAGCCCCTTTCTCTCCGACTTTCAGTGAACAGCAGCTCTGCCTTATCTCACTTCTGTCACTGTGACTGTTACTTCCCAGTGAGCTATCAGTAGCCCTATCTTGGGGCTCACTTTCTATGGAGCCAAAGCAGAGCATCACCTAGGCCAGTGGTCGGCAAACTGCGGCTCGTGAGCCACATGCGGCTCTTTGGCCCCTTGAGTGTGGCTCTTCCACAAAATATCACGTGCGGG